AGCAGACAATTTTTTTTAACACACCTGGGCAATGAGCACCAAAATTTGAGAATATTCCAGTGGTAATAGGGGTAGATGACTGAGACAGGCTAAGAAAACAGAAAGAATGAGACAGAAACTGTGTGTACCAACTGTTTTACACACCTGGGCAATGAGCACTATGGGGGAGGGAGGAGAGAGAGAAAGAGCCTCAAGGCAACAGCATGTACATCACGTGTCATGCTGTAGACTGCTGCGGCATCCTCCGGCAGTGTGGCGGCGCATCGCACCGCAAGCCGGTCACATTTTTCACGTGAAAGTCACATGGTTTCATCACGCGGTGGCACTGCCTGCGGCTGTGCCGTAGTCTCTTAATATAAAGGAAAGGATCCTGATATTTTTATTCTGCCGTAGTGAATAGTAGGGCCCTCCGGGCAGACTTGGTTCCTCCAATGAACACTGGTCCCCTTCCGCATAGTTCCTGTTTCTTTCCCGGTTTCTGACCTTCTTCAAAGCCTCCTCTCCATCCCCAGTTGTTCTTACACTATTCCTGAGCTTGTCCAAATATCCGCTAGCTCTGGTTTTCTGTTGTATGATAATGCCTGGACACTTTACAGTCATTTGCATGTGAAAAATTGCTGATGTGTGACCGACCGTCACCTCGGCCAACGCCGTTGCTGTCCAGCTTATGCCAAATCTCTGTCTATCAACTATTTACTTTGCCCATTCATCTGCTTGAGTCTTGAGGACATTGTTTCGATATTTTATTGGCCGGCCGTCTATCTGGTACCACTTGGAACGCGTACTTTCGGCAACTCGCGGTTACACATCAATAAGACCAAACATGTTTCTTGCAGAAATTGATTGCGGTTTGACATGCAAACGACTGTAACCGATAAGTCACTGATAGAAGCTAGATCGAATAAATCTGGGTCGAGATGGACAGTACACAGCTTTCTGCTTACTTGAATCTTGTTGATTTTCTTTCAAGATTATAGACAAGTCCACAGACAAAATCACTATTTTTTGGCATGCCGGTATATGGGCATGGTGAGCCCTGCTGCAACAGGCAATTTCGTACCAGACAGTGAGAGTGCGCCCCGGGCGGTTTTCGAATCGAGGGTGTCAATGACTTTTGACTTTCCTAGCCCAAGAATAATTTATTCACTTACCTTTTATCTAGATCCTCTTACGTCGGAAGGAGATGCAAAGCGTCGTACGCGATTAATACAGAAGACGATCCGTCTTTTTTCCAGATAGGTCCAGTCCGGACAAAAGCTGCCAAATCTCGCCAAAATTTGTCCAGACAAAAATCGGCAGATCCGGTATTTTTGTGACCTAGCCTCTAATGGTGGTCCTTAATTGCCCTGCTGGATGGAGCCTGGATACCCGAGGCTCGTGTTAATATCATAAGGCACTCAATGGGGAAAAAATGCTGGTTGTCGTGTCTTCCGTCAAGGCACGATCAAACTGATCGTACTGTGTGAGTCTTTTGACGGAATTTCGCGCGATAGAAAATAAGGACTTCAGATTAGAATAGAAAAGTACAATTTTCATCGATGTAAGAGGCATATTTTTTTTGGCTGCTCGTTGTGTCAAACCTGCTGCGGTCATCAATAGACAAGTAAACATGTCATCAATACTGAATCAAGCAGATAAGCGGAGAAACTCACTCTAATATCACGTGTAGAAATGGGCCGGATCTAACTGACAATGGCTAGATATTTCTTTCTTTTTGCCCTCTTTGTTGTGCACGTCTCCCCATGTCATGCAGACCACTTTGCCAGCACTGCAGAAGTGAAAAATATCAAGCTTAGGTGCACCCGACACTGCGCTGAAGAACTGATACATGGCGGATCCATAGTTCAATGACTCTTGGGTACCAACATAAAGATGTTTTAGAGCTGGGAGGCTTGCCATCAGGAGGAGGAATTCTTTAATGACTGGATGAAGATTGTTGACCGTGACTTCAGCTGTGTCGATCTAGTTTAAATGACAATCAATGTATGCATTGCCTGCAGTTATAATGGAGTACTTACCCCGTAAATGGATGCACCCCACCCTTCGTCTTGATAGAGCACGACTTCATGGATCTCTTCCTTTAACGAACCTCTGATGATCAACGAAGATAATTGTCTGCTCTGTCCAAGAAGACGACGGATGGGGGGGGCATCACGCATTGACCGTGCGGTCAAAGCTGTGAACATGGTCTTTTCAATGTGGATGTCTGTCATTCCTATATCTCGGAGGGGACGGCTGATGTGCATGAGTTTTGCAACGTCATTTGGGTGAGCAAATATGTGGGACACGTTTGGTAGCATGGTGGTGGGCAGTGGATTGGTCACTAAGTCATGAGCACGAAACCATTCGCGGGCTAACGTGACGCTAGTAAGGGAAGTCTGAGAATGGATAAATTTGTATAGGCTGTAGTTTATTTGATCTAGTGCCGACCCGCATGTGAATGAGCGCAGGTTGAACTTGACATCACAGAAGACGTCTGAAGTGAAGTATATGCGTGTGCCGAGGATAAGGTCCTGAAGCCTATTCGTGCGACGGAGAGCAGGACCAAGTAAAGTGCCATCAAGAAAGAGACATTCACAAGTGATTGTGAGACTTCGGACATGCCGAGCCACATCATCATTGCATACTGTTTGCGATTCTCGAGCCAAGGTGCGTAGTAGGGCAGGAGCCCTTGCGCCGACAACTATGGTCTTGTATAATGCATGTCGTGCCTCGTGCAGAAATGGGGATGAAACTGTCAAAAGCTCAAACACAGCACTGGATTCAGTGATGTGCTCCAACACCTGCAGGATAATGTGGTTGTTGCGAAAGAAACTGTATGCTTTCGTTGTTGAGTAGGACATATATCTGCTTGTGGTGCTGTTTCGTTGGTTTAACCAAAGCCCATGCAGTGTGAGATTATCTTCTGGATTGAATTGGTAAGCAGAGCACGAAAGTTCAACCATTACAGTAAAATGTGTATCTCCGACGTCTCCACTTTTTGTGTGCCAGCAACGCAAATTTGTAGCCATGTGCATTGCTGATGAGAATAGATGACCCAAACTCACCTACACTCGAGCTTTCGTTGTCTTTTTAAATGAATACTGCGCAAGATCGTGTCCAGTATGAAGTCGAACACAAGTCGAACAGTGAGTTGATTTCTGCACGTGACCGTATGTTTTCTTTTAGAGTCCATAACTAACACCAGCAACTTCTGCAGCGACATAACGAGACTATTCGACACTGTTCAATTGAGGCCCCGTAGAAGCATCAATACTGTGTGTATGTATCATAATTTTATGTGTCCCCTCTCTTTTGTTCTGACGAAAGACTTAGTTCCAAACGAACTTCTACGCTTGATATTCAAATCGGGAGTACAACTGACTGTGCAGGGAAGTGTCGAATCCATCTGGGAAGGCGTATATTTTCGCAACATGGTGTGGAGGACATGTAAGCTGTGGAGGAACATAGTGATTGACGTCCCCGACCGTCGTCACAGATGGGGCTGCATCTTGGAGCGGTAACATGGTAGGACGCAGCACCCTTCGCGATCTCGACATCCAGATCTGTAGAGCCAAGACATACGGACTGAACATCGTGTTCGAAATTCTTATGTATTGCCATATTGCAACGCGTTGAGCCCACATTTCGCCCGCAATGTCGAAACTATTGAGCAAGGCCGGATCGGGCTCCGAGCGGAAAGGCGGCGTGAGAAAGGCTCATACACGGGACCATCAAATCACGACGTGGAAGTCGACCGTTGAGGCCCACTTTTTATGCAGATGAGAGGTGTAGAAGAGGGTGTAGGTCGTTAGGTTGACCAGGTAGGGAAGGTCGGCAGTAGGTATAGGTCTATAGCCACCAAGTAAAATAATCACGATTTATCGCACAATGAGTACTCAGCTTTGGATCAACTTATGAGGCTTGAAGTTGTCCGCTTCTGGACCACGTTTACTCGATATCGCGTTCGCGGGACTGAGGGACTCGGGACAGTAGATGGTGGGGGGAAACAAGAGGAAGACCCCTCTCCGTCGCATTGACAGCACATTTAACTACGATCGGGATGGCCGCATGCGTACTCTCGCATCGCCAGAGCCCAAACACGCCAAGGAAATCGATACAAATAGATAGTAACTAAGAGTCCAATGAGGGAAAACCTCGAGCCAAATCACACCTTCAACTCCAACCAACCGGGATATGCGCAAAGACAGAATAGGGAGACGCGTTGGGCCCGAACAACGTTGCCGCGGGGTGGCCCAAACCCTCAGGCGTGTCAATCCCCGGCGCATTCCGAGTTGGCCGAGCTCTCCGGATATGATAAGTCGCCGTTGGCAGGTACAACTGGTAATATGAGTCTGTGGATCGGAATAATTGGGAATTGGTTCGAAATGGGATAGAGAATGATGAGAGGGGGAGTAGGAAATATGTGACGCGCCGTCCTGTCCTTCAACGCGGGTATAACGCGGTTGCGCGCTCGAATTAAAATCGAACACGCGATCACATGATCCTTTGATGCGTGTGTGCAAGCGGCGCGGCGTGGTTATTGAGCGAGGGTAGGGATTGGAAATGTAAATCTGGATGATAGGGAATGATGAAAGGAATAAGGTGGTTCAGTGTTTTCAAGGGTGGAGGATAGAGATGAGTGGCGTGTGATAATGCCCGAGTGGAATACAGTGGATATGGGGTGGTGTGCTATAAGCGGTGAGCGTGCCTATTGGCACTTCCACAGAGGCAACGTAGGTGAAGGAGGAGACGATCAAGTAAAGTAAATTTATACAGGGCTGAAAGAGGTACAGACGACGGAAAGCAGAGGGACAAAAAGGACGGCACAGGAGGAAGGTCATGGGACCTGCGGTCGTGTGAAAAGTATACTAAAAGTAGAATTGTACGGCCGACGGACGGAAGGACAGACTAATGTGATTTCCAGACTTGGTTCCTAATTCCGGAACCAAGGATATGAGTTTGATTTGATGATAGCGTGCGTATCTATTATATTCAGGGTGGTGGAAAACACTAGCAAGGGCGTCATAGCTCAGTTGGGAGAGCAGCAGACTGAAGTCGAGTTTTGATTTGATGTTATCTGAAGGTCCCGTGTTCGAGCCACGGTGATGCCATTTTTGGACCCTTATTACTTTTGGGTCTCTTTTGATTGGTTTGTCTATGCCTCCAGCCCTGCACACTCGACTGTTCCATCTCAAAGTGCCTTGATGCTTTCCATCAGAGCCTTATGGGCTGATCTTAACAGTGCCAGACCAGGACTGTGTACCAATCTATTAGAGTGTATTTGCAACTGGGGAAAAACGACCGAAACTCGCTTAGTAATTCCTGAGAGAATCCACCACGTCATGCGACTCCACTCGAGAAAGTTCCGCTTTGGGGCGTGTCACTCCCATACTCCTTCCCGTGCTGGTAGTCACACCTTTCTAACAGACGCTGATGTCGGCGTCGTCCGCTGACAGCAGAAACAGAGAGAACAGAAGCTTTTTGAGAGCCCAGCGCATAGCTGAAGTGGGCGGACCGTCACACAGGTGGAGTTCAAGGCGGCACTATAGTATAGTACATCTGAACAACTGTCTTCAGAAAAGTACGTGGAAAACTATAGAGGGTGGAACCGAGCCTATTTGCCGAGACTCGCTTAGGATTTCCTGAGAAAATCAGATTTTCTTACTGCAAATACACTCTAGTCATCCGTTGCGAGTTTCATATGCATCTCGCAGGCACTCACGACACAGCGATGATGCTACCAATTTATCTTGCTTCTTATCCTCATTCGGGACAATTGGACTTGGACTCAGCCGGACAAGTGGGGCCGCGGGTCAATTTTCCGAATGGCTAGACTGCTATTGGATGCTTTGAGAAAATTTTGCGTGGAACGCCGCGAAATTGAAGAATTTAGCTTGAGAAGGTCCACACAGCTATTCGGGCTCGAGAACTCCCTCAGGGTATCCCATTTAAATCCAAGACCCTTGGCAAGATGGCCCCAGGCTCCCGTCGCATCTTGACTTGCCGCTACAAATTATTATGTTCAGCTTGCAAGTGCAGGGTAAATTTCTGTTCTTTCTGTTCTTTCTGGTGCCAATGTGCCCTCGCGGTTGGCGATGCCTTCGATAACATTATTGTGCGCAACCATCATCGAAGATACCTATCTTTTTGCTTCACTTTTATCACAGGTTGAGGACCGACGCACTTTTGCCGTTTGGACCCACACGGCCCGTTCCGTAACGGGTCTCAGCGATTCGAGCCGACGCCGAATGTCACCCTTACTCCTCCGTATTTCCAGGTTTTCGATGACAGGTTCAAGATATCTTGGGCCCCGCGCCGTCGATTCGAGTCATCGTAGAGAATGACACCTTCCCGTTTGCTCATGACGCACCATGTGGGTTCCATCCACCGACGACGTCTTTTTCAGTGGCGGAAGAACCGTCGGCCGACCTGTAAGTCATCTGCACTTCCTTTGCGTTCAACGAGTGTTTATACCACACTCAGGTCTCAAAGATCAATTTGCATGATCTTGCTACAACACAGACGGGCTTGATTAACTTTATAATTGTACATATGTTCCGCAGTGGCTGTCCTTCCGCCGATTCACGCACTGGCAGATTCCACTTGGTGACGACGTGCAAATCAATAACGGCGGAACCCTCTTCCGCGGCGACCTCTTACTTGTGACGACTGGCTCGGGCCGCTTCCCCCGAGTCTCGTCCGAGTCAATCCCCTCCCTCCGTTTAACGATACCGTCATATTGAACAACTACTACGGACGCCAATTCAACTCCTTGAACGACGCCAAGATCCATCCCGTAAGCCGCGCGATCTTTTTTACCGATACCACGTATGTCTAGTCGTGACTGAGTCCCGTCCGTCGCTCAATGTTTTTTCCTTGTCAGTTACGGATTTTTGAACGGATTCCGCCCACCACCATTGATTCCCAATCAAGTGTACCGCTTTGACGCGGATACGGGGGAGGTACGCGTGGTAGCGGATGGCTTTACGCAACCCAATGGTGTCGCTTTTTCGCCAGACGGTGAAACTGCATATATGTCCGTGTTTAGTTTCTACCTCCCTTTTATAACAGCTGATTGGCCTTGGCAATACCAGAGCAGATTCAGGGGAAACCGAAGGAGTCCTAAATGGGAATGATCAGACCAAGCCAGCGACGATGTGAGTACCGTTATTTCTCGTTTGCCTCGAATCGGCTCTCAATTTCTCTCAGCTATGCATTCGACGTCAGACCGGAGACTCAGGTCTTTGGCAATCGACGCGTGTTTGCTTACATCGATTCGGGCGTACCAGACGGGTTGACGCTCGATACAAACGGCAATCTGTATGTGGGCTGCGGGGACGGTACCGAAGTAAAGTTTTTAGTATTATTTTTCCCAAAAAAAACGACTGAGTGCGAACGTGACAGGTGTTTGACCCCAATGGCACTCTTCTAGGAAAGGTATCCCTTGGCGTGGGCTCTGCGAATATGGTGTTTGCAGGGAAAGGCAGGCTGATCATCATGGCCGACACCAAGATTTATCTGGCGACCATTGCAGCTGAGGGGTGAATCTGAACTTGTGAATTGAAACGGACTCGATTTGATATACATCTATCTATCTCAGAATGAAGTCCCTACACAAATGTCTGACTTGCGAGTGTATAAGAATTTGAGGTGATAAATTCACTTTAAAGTTTAAATTGCGCCTGTGTAGGGTTCCACGACTAAGCTCGTCACGGAGGTGGGAGTGATACAGCCCTTTTGGAAACTATAGAGGGGTTTCGTAAATCGTTGATGCTCGATTTTTGCTTACCTCTGTTTGCGATAGCGTCATCGGCTCCACACTGCCGAATCGTGTTTGTCTTCTGTGCATCTTTCTGGGTACATGATATTTTAGTTAGTTGCCGCTATTTAATATTTCTAGCTCTTTATCTCAGTCTATTCAGGCCGTCATTGTCACAGTCATGCCCACTGCAGGAAAGCTACACTCAACTTGCAGCCAATTGTGGAGTCACGGCACTGTACGGCAGTGTGGAGCCGGTCTTAGCCGATGACACTGTCGCAAACAGCGGTAAGCAAAAATCGAGCATCAACGATTTACGAAACCCCTCTATAGTTTCCAAAAGGGCTGTAATAACCATATCTGGATACAGGCGGAGCGGTTTTGTTGTTGTTTGCCCGATCACATCTATCTGTCCAATTCCGTAGTTCCCGTTGATCTCCCCAAAAATTCCGAAGAGTCAGAAACAGACGACAATGGCAGGCGGCGACGAAGGCAAGATGCTCGAGGGCGTCACCGCCGCGCAGCATCGCTTTCGCTTGTCGGTGAACGTCAACCCAGGCGACAGCGCGCCACCCGAGAGCAATGGCAGCGCTGGCGGCAATGGCAGCAATGGCAACCTGTCTCGTGCTGCGACCGAACCAGCTGGATCCGGGCCATTTTTAGTATGTCGCGGCTGTAGCAGGTGATTACTCTAACTCGCATAGTATGCCCAGCTACCGTACCGCAACTCGAGATACAAGGAAAAGTAGGGAGATCGATCTCCGTTTTGGCTGCGGATTGACCCTTTGTCTCAGATTCCAAGCGTTAAGGGAAAAGTACGACCGCGTAATAGCAGTGCGTTACCTTCATTCTGTCAACGCGGGAGTTTACGCGTCCTGATCGTACCGCCCGGTCCTGACACAAGAAACAAGACGAGTACCAACACGACCTCGAGATTGCGACCGAGAAGATCAAGAAGCTGCAAGCAGAGAATGAGTGCGTTCTCCGTACCCTCCGCATCGCGCAGCCCCCGACGGACTCTGTACAGCTTGCTTCTTGACGCGATGAACCTCGCCGCGGCGCACCAGCCGTCGATGTTCGGGCTCCTCCCGCCACCGCTGCCTCCCGACGCACCATCCGGTGGCTTTGCGATGGATCTTGACGCGTTCGTCGGGTCGAGCACGAGCGCGGTGCCCCTGCTCGCCGACCGCGCGCCGCCGCCACCCGCTGCCGTCCACCGCGACTTCTCGCCGCGCCACGTCAACGGAAATGGGAGTAACACCAACGGCACCCGTAGCGGCAGCAACAGCAGCCACGGCGTCGTGCAGACGAACGGCGCCCACCCGCCGCCTGTCGAGGTGTGCATTTTGTTTTTGTGTGCTCTGGACCCAGAACTCATTTGTTTTCTCCGTCAGCCACCGCGGCCGTCCCGTGCCCCTTCGATCGAATTCATCTCGCATGATATGAACGGCCGCGCACCCTGACACCCGCCCGTCTGACCACGTCCACTTACCTACCTACATTGTACCCGCTGTATCTGTACTATGCTCTGTACCCTCCACTACCCTACACCGCACTACTACCTTCCGCGATGCCCGCAAGTCAGGGCACAGCACCGCTACTTCCATTCTTCCATTGGTTTTTCGGCATTCACATTGGTTTGAATTGATTTTTTGATTTCCGAGTCGGACCTGGTAGTACAAATATGTCTATAGGCTATAGCGCTGCCCGTCCGCTGCGCCCCCAAAAACAACAATAAGAGAGAGAGAGAGATCCGAACGCCGTGCGCGTGGTGCGAGATGTGTAGCAGGGTGTGAGGTGAGATGGCCGGTGAGATAAAACACAGATGATGTGATGCGGAGTGTATGATGACGAATGGATGATGCAACAGCGAACGGTGGGGTAGTGTACAGGAGATAACAGCGAGGGGTAAGAGTGTGAGAGGAATAAACAAGACGGACGGCAAAAAGCGAAAGCAGATCAGAACATCGTAGCAAAGAATGAAGGAACGACAGCTGGTTTTTTTTTGTAGGGGTATGTACATACGGTGTAAGCGTGAATTGAAATCTAAGGTGAAGAGAAGGGTTCGTGTAGCATCAAATAAAACACAGAAGAAGAAAGGAGCGAAAGAACGAACAGAAGCGGCAGACGACACACTTCGTATGAGTCACAAGTCCAAGACCAAGACAGACTGAGAAACACAGTCAGAGGGTTCCACACCCATTTTAAGCCAGCACGCGCTAGCGGCTCGGCGCATTGCTCGGCACCGTCGCGATCGACAGCCCGCCGCCGCCACCGTTGACGCCGCCCAGCCCGCGCGACATGTTCCCGATGTTCGGGATCCCGCGTTGCCCCTGGCCGTGGTGCGCGAGG